TATGAAGCCCTGCATGGTGGGGGGTCCAGTTTCTGAGCATCTGCACTCCTCACAATAATCTACCATGGTGGCTGGGATGGCACTGGGACTGGGCCCTCCATTAGAGCTCTACAGGAATGGGGCAGAGGGCTTCTGCCTGCAGCTCATTCATTCTCTTAATCTGGAGGCCTCCACAGCATTCTGGTAAAGTTCACTTCTTTTGAGCAGGCTCTTGGCAGCGAGAAGGAGGAGGCAGGCTGGTATAGTACAGGCATTTTCTAACAACTTCCCCTATGCTACAGATGAACTGTTGTAAATGAGGGCATATCTACACATCACATGGTCAAGCCCTGAAGAGATTCCCAAGCTATCTTGAATATCAGGAGCAGCATAGCTGCCTCAGAGGAGTGCTCCACCAGGTTAGTTAGCCCTACTAAGAGTAGAATATATAATTAAGTACAGTATATAATTAAGTTGAGTATATAATTAAGTAGAATATATAATTAAGGGCAGTACATTCATGTAGGTACACTGCTTGTGGTACTCTGTACAACACTACAGAGAGAAGGGCAGACATAGCCTAAAGGTGCAAGTGCTTGTGTAGGGTCTTATAGCCATGGCATTTTTTTTTAAATGCCTGGTCAATCAGATATGTAACTGGGTCATATTGTTATTGTAGCCAAGATGGTCCAGGAAATATCCAGGAAGCCAGGTTTTTTTTGGTGATATCTTTTACTGGACTGACTGTATGGCTTCCCAGAAGCTTGTCTAACATCCATCCCAACCATACAGTTGCCCCAATACAAAGTATCATCAACCCCTCCCCGACTTCTTGCAGTTAGTCAGTCAGACTCATCTGATAGTGTAGTGCTGAAATGATGTTGGTAGCTGGAGGCCTTTCTACTACAGGACTCTTAATGTGGATAACAGCTGTTTACTGGCACCAGTGTTAGCAGCACTGGAAACTCTTTAGGCGTTTGGATGATTAACTTGTTGGGGGTCATCTGACTGCAGCTGACTTCCTGACCTTTGGGCAGGGGGCTGGACCAGATGATCTCGCAAGGTCCTTTCCAGGCCTAATATCTATGAAAATTAAGGTCATCAGGGTTCATATGTCATTATTATTAGAAGGGAAATGTACTAACACTGGGAAATGCTAAATGAACACTGGCATTGCAACCTGTACCCCCCCCCCCCCCACACTCTGCACACAGCAATTCTATCTATACACAGCATCATTATTACCTAATTACATTCGACCTTAGGGTAATCAGCCATAGCAGTTTCGTTAGGGAATTCAAGGAGACATAATAAGGAGATTAGGAGAAAGAATTTGTGTACATATTTAAAAACAAATTTTTGTGTAATTGCATTCCCACCAGTAAAAATCAATTATAAACAAACAAACAGAGCGGAGGGAATTACAACGCAACTGGAGCACTATCCAAGTCTGAGACAGTAAGTGACAAAACAGTGGAGTTCAGAAAAATGGGATGGGTAATTGGTTGGAGGAAGGGAAGAAGTAGGGTTTGAAGGGAGCATATCACAGGTCCCTTTGTATAACCTTGGTTAAGTCACTTCAGGCCAGAATGCTAAAAGTATGTAGGGGCCTAGAGCTGATCATCAAGTACATATCTGTATCTCTAGACTCCTGAAAATCTTTAAAACTATAGTGCTTCATTTGTCGGCCTGATCAATTGTCTCTTTAAGGGAACTGACAGACATTCAAGGCCCTGCTCTAACTCATGGCGCTTTACAGAAAACATTATGAGTGAGAGCACCCCCTAACCCAACAGAAGTTTGCTTGTTGGGTCAGAGGGGAATTGAGCCTACCTGCACCAGCCCTTTTGGCCAGCAGGCAGGGGCGCAGGCCAGGACCATCCCTCTTTCCAGCCCTGTCCCCCACTCCCAGTCTGGGGTTGTCAGCGGAGAGAGAATTTAGGGGGCAGCAGCAGCTGCAGGAGTGCTATGCTGGACCTGAGCTGGGGGGGGAGAAATTGCCTTGAGGCCCCCCACAGGGGTACTGGAGGGAGCTGGGGCTGGGCTTCCCAGGTGTGGGGGCTCTGTTCTACCCCCTTCCCCTCTCCAGCCCAGGCTGGGCATAGCAGCCCCACAGCTGCTGCTGCTCCCTTCACTCCTCCACTGACAGATCTGCCCCTAAGTGAAAATTAATCCTTGAGGGAACACAAGTTCCCAAAGATGCTCTAAAACACAGTGCCATAATCTATTACCTGATTAGAAGAGGGTTAATTTTTTGCATGGCTGGCCATTTTAGAAGTGCTCTGCACCTGTGCATGTGTGCGTCAGGTCATGGCTGTAAGGCATTTTCAGGGGCCAGATCTCATGAACAATGTCACTTCTGTCTGCACCCTAGATGATAACCTGTTTGGGGAAGAGACTCTTAATGTGTATGTACAGTGCCTAGCATAGTCATGCCCCAGATCCTGATTGGGGGCTTTTAGTGCTATAGTCTTATATAAATAAAACAGTGAAAATGGATTACAGAAAGAACAAGATCTACCAAATGCATAAACACAACAATACAGCACCTAAAGACCACCTATTTGTACAAGCCCAGATCTACAGTTAACACAACAACTTTCATTTAAAATGAATCACCTTGAAAATAGAAGGACCCTCACTAAAGTCCTTGTGTGTAGTGATGATCACACTGTGGCCAGCCCACCCAGGTCCTGCAAGGGACAAGAGATCCAGACTGTGGAAGGGGCATGGCAAGAGCTAGAGGGGCAGACCTGCACTGCAATATGCTCTGCCCAGGTCCTGCTAGTATGAAATGAGTGGCCACTCAAACTTACGTTGCAAAGAGAGCTCAATAGGTTTGCAAAACCTTCAGATGCTCAAAGCCTCATTCTAGTGAGTTACACTGAGACCCAACACTGCCATCCAGCCATCAGAATACCTAGGGGCCTTCCCTGGGCCCCAAGCCCCTTCACTCCTCACTATCACTACAACCAGTTAAGTTTGGTGCCCTCCACCCAGCTCATCTCATAATTCAAGAAGAGTCTTGACATAATGCTAGGAAAGCTCCTTAACAGCTACAGTCAGTGCTTTTATGGGAGCATACAGCATGTACTGTTAATAGATAAGCAGGTCTGAGCAGTTTATATTGTGGGTATAAGGCAACATGTTATACTGATTGCAGATGGCTAAGAGGTATGACTGATTAATGAATTAGTAACCTCTAGATGACACTTGAGGTGCTTCCAACACTGATTCATAAACCAAGACATAATCATACAAGTAAGGGATCCTATTGACATTAATGGAGTGTAGATGAGGACCTCAATATATTCATTTATGTTAATGGTAACAAAGGGCCCATGTTTTTGTTCTGTGTTTATACAGCATCTAGTACAATAGGACTCTGGTCTGTGACCTGAGCTTCTAGGTGTAATGATGGTGATGATGATGATGATAATATCTAAAATTAACAATAACATTAATCAAATTGCATCTTGAGAAAGCCAGGTCTAAATCACATGGTATGCAAAGTGGTTTGTAAGCAATTACTCCTTATCATACTGATTGCACTTTAGTCTAGCTCCTCGCAGTCTGAGGCCTCTTACTAGCACTTTGTAAAGTGTGTACAAGAACCAATTCATCCACTATAGGGTGGTAAATATGGCCACTATTCACAGTGCACAGAAACACTGTTATCTAAGTAAGAGGGGGAAGGGAAGATGAAAGTTACATTCAATTTAAACTGGACAGGAAATTAAGCAATTAGAGAGTACTTACCTGATTTGAAACTGAGGAGAATACAAAAGCTGCCTTGAAGTCTTCAGTGACTAGAACTGGCAAGGACTTCAGCTGATGATGCCACACAAAAAGACACTGCAGAACCCTCTAGCATCATGGTAGTGGTCTAGTCCAGAGATCAGTGCCACTGAATCACCACTACCTTCTCCCACTCTGGAGAATATTTTCCCAAAAGGACATACAACTGTCTGAGTTGAAATTTAACTAGGATATGAGGATGAACCTGCCATCTCCAAGGAAAACCACTACATGATCTTTCATGACCACAAATGTTCAAAATCGAGTGTTTACTACTCATGTGAAAGACAACCACTTCAACCTCACAATTTTTCAGGCTAGATCATTAGCTGTGTACTGATGAAAGCCAGGAGTCTCCAAACACATGCATACATTCTTAACTTTAAGCAAGTGAACTGTCTCATTGAATTCAACAGAACTAACCACAATTTCAAGTGAAGTGTATGCAGGATAGGTGGCCATGAGGGAAGGTATTATCTATGGAATCACCATAGCGATTTCAGGAAGACGCTGACGGTAAGTCTACACCACATCCCCAGGGCCAGGTGCTCCCACTTTCAAGTATGCTTTCATTCACTTGCATGTCATTACTGCACTCAAACACAATGTAGGCAGAACTCTGGAAAGCAACCGCTGGCAGTGCCCCCAGATCAGTTTCACCACTGCATTTCTGGGTTTACTGCATGTATCTGGGAGCAGATGCCCCTAGCAGTGCTGGGTGTATAGTGGAGAGAAATTCTTGCTTCTTCTTTGATGTCTCCTATACAAGTGCAAATTCAGTCTAACCATGCTTAGGTCCTGAGATCTGATGATGATGATGTTGACTACACAAGTGTGGTCAACTGTACAACATTGCAGGGTGGGGGGCAGAAGGGGTGCACAACGGGCTATTACACCTTGCTTCTACCAGCTCAGTTGCAAATACACATGCTTCATTGGGGGGGAGGGGCGTTCTTTATGTGTTGTGTGTGTGTGTGTGTGTGTGTGTGTGTGTGTGTGTGTGTGTGTGTGTGTTAGCACACGCACATGCACATGAACACCAGGAAAAAAAATCTGTGAACTGCACACAGTTAAGCTCCTAAGCCAGTGTGCAAATAACATATCCCCTTTGGTGACTGCTATGGTAAGCATCAGAAATGAAGCATCAGAAGTGAGGAAACACATGTGAAGGGGATGAGAGAAACATGGGCAAAACTGCTGAGACAGGAAATTTTCACACTTACTTCCTGGGTTTGCCTGCCATGCTCCCTGCCACGTGGTATCCGGGTTTACACTTATAGCGGCAGACAGAACCCACATCATGGTTCCCTTGCAGGCATCCACTGACCAGCAGCTTGGCATTGGCAACTGCATGAGGAGCATCACATTCCAGCTTGCAGTAGGCTTCTGGGAGTGACCAGAGTCCATCCTCAAGGCAGGTCAGCCATTGACTCATTCCTAGCTCCAAGAGAGAGAAGCAGAGCATGCTCAAAATGCAGGATGGCTACATCAGGGCTACAGGCAACAAATGCATCTCTAGAAACCTGGTAACCTGCAAAAGTTGTTCTCAGAGCCTGATGCTGAAGCCAGTGAAGTCTATGGAAACAAAACCACTGACTTCACTGGACATGTGGTCCAGTCTTTAATTGACTGCTTGAGCCCAGAGGTAAGTTAATAAAGTGACACCTAAAGCATGAAGCAAGCCTCTCTGCAAAGTAACTTGATGAGCTCCTCAAACTTTGTTCAACCTCCACTCCCTTAACCCTCCTCTCTGCTCTGATGCTTATAACAAAACTTGATGATGCTAGCATGTTATAACTGCTGCTTACCATGCTCATCCCAGTCATCTCATCGTTTCCTCGCTCTTTCCCAGATCTTTCATCTGTACCTTGTCTTGGGCTTAAGATGTAAACTGTCTCCGATAGAAATCATCTCTGTGTTATGTTGACATGTTTATTTACTGCAATGGGCCAGTAACACTCAATTGGGGCCTTTGGGTGTTATGCAATTAATAACAATTAGTTATTACTAATTAATAATGACATAGCTATGCATCAGGGTTCTGTCAGTGCTTTGCAGAGACCGGTATTTTAGACATTCCTATGACAGATAGATAGGAATATTCAGAAAAGCAACTGGAAAAACAATACATCCTTACATCACCTTTTTACACTGTCTGATCTGATAACTGTGTTGGACAAAACCCAGCTGTTGGCCTTCCATAGTGTACAAAGCATAAGAAGTAAATAGGAATTTGCTCTGGCTGGTGCACTGTTACCACAACAAGCAACTAAGCCCCAGTCACCAAATGTGTACTTGTAAAGCCTGTATGTAGTAGAGAGAACTCAGTTTGTCTCCAGTGAGAACAAGAATCAGGGAATTTCCTGCCCCAGTGGCTCAGTGAAATCAACTGGACCCCCTGACTTTCTCTGCTAGGTTCAACAAACTTGAATTAACATCCTCAGGAATCATTTCAGACCCTGGAAGCAACTTCTGCATATGAGCCAGCTCCTTTACCAAGGAAGCCAGAGG